ATTCAGATTGGCAGCGCTGGCTCTTGTGTCCAGCTGGATCTAAAAGCAGACAGCTCTCGGGGCTTCCCACCTTCCTCCTCCCCACCAGTGCTGAGCGCTCAGACCGGAGCACGCCACCGCTTTCCCTCTGGCTCTCAGGCTGAGCCCGCGGGGCAATCCCGCGGCTGCAAAAACAGCCCTGCCTTTCCAGCAGGCCACCCAACCTAGCAATGATGGATGCGGTCGTGTTTGAGGTTGAGTCAGCTTCCTCCCCTCCACCTCCAGCTGCCCCGGTGGCTCCGTGCCTCCTGTCTCTGTGCTGGGAAGAGGAGGCCAGGTCCCCCTTTCCTCGTGGGAAAGGAGACCCAAGCCAGCGCCCCAGTGCTGCCAGCGGTGCTGGGAGGGGGGCAAACCTGCTGGCCTGGAGGGCTGATACGGGGGTCAGAGGAAGGGGGTTGACCTTTTGAGCAAAAGCCACACTAAATTACAGGAGCACTGAGGGCTGTGCCACTATGGGCAAGGGCAAAACACAGTTATTTGTCAAGGTTAACCACCGCCATGGAGCTGTCGCGGGCAGCTGGGAGCTGTGGCGCAGCCACCGCTGTGCCGCGGCCTCCCCGAGCACGCGGCCATGGGCGCTGTTCTTCAGGAAAGCAGCTCAGGAATGTTTCCTCCCCTCACACCTACCAGCTACACCTTTTAATTTGGCTTCTCTGGGATTGTGTACCTAGTGGTGATTTAACACATGGTGCAATATTTGGGGAATGGCTCTGTCAGTGGACAGCCAGGCAAGGGAAGTCCTTAGCCTGCTTTGGACGTACACACTGTGTTTTCTTTGCTCAGCTCCTTTTCAAGATTTGCTTTGTTTTTTTTTGACTTGCCCCTCTCTGAGACCACCCTCCTTCAGGATATCATTATCCACATGCTGATTTAAATTGGGATGACACTTAATGAGGCCACATTGTAAATCAATGCACTCAGTTTCCTCCCCATACTGGCCAGAGGTTCTTTCCATTCCTGTTACTGCATCCTCTCAACCCAAAGAGACTCCTCCTGTTTCCACACTCTTTCTTGGTGTTTCCCAGGCAGGCTGTAAGATGAGGGATGCATAAGGAGAACTGATGCACTGAATTCAGGGTGTTCAGATGTGGTTACTGCTGCAGGGCAGTAGGGGCAGACCTTGCTGTTTCTCCAAGTTGTCATTTGCTGGTTGTCCTGGAATAGCTGGGACATTTGCACATGAGATGGAGCTGTGCTTCTGCCTCCTGGTGGGAGCTGGCTCCTGGATAGAGTTGTCATGCCAGGCTGGATCTCCTGTCCTTTTTGGTGTAACAGGAACTGCAGCAGTGCTGGAGCACTGCTCAAGATTTGCCCTGATGATTTTTGGCAGGCAGGAGGTGTACAAAGCCAGGCTGCCCTGTGGTTAGAAGGTGCTCCCTGTTGACTGCTGGGTGGTAAACACTGCCAGAGACAGTGGGACACAGGAATCCCTGTGTCTGCATGGTCCAGTTCATTTGCACCTCTCCCATTTCCTTACCTGGCTCAGGGAGCCCTGCTCAGGCAGATGGGGCTTTCCCAAGGCCAGCTGTGTCCTAGCTCTGTGTTTCAGGGCTGAGCAACATCCCCCCAAGAGCTGCCCCTGGGAAGTGTGGAAAGGGGAATGGCTGCAGCTTGGATTTGGGGACAAAGGAATGGGCTAAGCACAGCAAATGGGTTAAGCACAGCTATGCAGAGGCAGGAGCCAGCCTGGAATATGGTGCCTGGAGTGGAAACTGGTTCCCAAGCCTTCTCTGCTCCCCAAACTTTCTGACTCACATCCTGTATCCACCACCATGGTGTGCACATGCTGTCCCTTGCTTCAGGCATGTTTCAGAGCCTTACCAGAGTCCTCCTGAAATCCATAAGTGAAGCACTGTTCCACTTCAAGCAAAGCATTGGTCAGACCCATAATAAACAGCAAGCTCTGACATTTAACACATGTAATACTGTTTGCCCAGTTTTAAAAAGGAAATATTATCTAAGCGCTCCTCTGAAGACTAGAGCCACCCACACTTTAGCGGTGTTAGGTTTGGCCAGTCTGACCTGTGCAATACTGCTATCACTTCCAGAATATAACATTCTGAACCCCTTATAAATTGTGCAATGTACTGAATGAAAAGTTTCTCTGTATGTTTAAAAATCCACCCCTACTCCCAGATCCTTCTTGTGATAGAGAATAAATAAGGAAAAACTTTATAACTCCCTGAACTGATAGAAAATTAGCACAGCCATAAAAGGCGTCTGTGGCTTTAGCAGTGCAGCTAAAAAGGAAAAATGAATAAACCTGCCACTCATAAAGTAATGAGCTGAAGAATGACTGCTGCCATTTTAGCCTCCTGTCCCTTCTACCCCCTGTGCAAGTGCAAAAAATAGCCTCATGCCCTGTGCAGGAGGCAAGGAAGTGCTCTGGGACCCTTCCTGCAGGCACCGCTCGGCAGCAAACCGCTGTACAGCACATGACTAGAGGATATCCTAAATTAATTTACATAGACATATAAATATATGCATGTGTGTGTTTTCTGTATGAAATATGAAACCAGTGATTTCTTAGCCAACCCCTTAATTTGTCTGAAACAGCACAGGCATAATGGAAACTGCCCACACATTTTTCCATTAAAAGTTACAAAGGGAAAGAAGCAAGGAATTGGTGATAGAAAAACACATGCTCTCTCAGCTGGCACAGAAATGCCATGGAGCCAGGCAGCAACACACACTCACTGCAGTTTGCTGGGAAAGGTGTCATCTTCATCCTGGGGGTCTTCCTGCTGATGCTCTCCCTCCTCAGCACGCTGGGTTCCGTGTGTTCTTCAACAGGAAAAAGTAGCTTTCCCTCTTTCCTGCCTTCAGCTGGCCTGGCCCCACTCAGATATAAGTGTCAGGTGCATCAGCAACTCATTGCAACCAGCCCTGCAACCTCACCGTGATGCTGTATCTGGAACAGCCCCACGAGCTCACCAGCATTTTTCCAAAGACTGCCTTGTGTTGACAGTGCTAACCAGTCTGCACAGCAGGAGGGGGGAAAAGCAGCTGGTAACTAATGCAGGGCTGTGGGGATTCGTGGATGTGTGTATGGTTCTGGTTTTCGCTATATTGTCCTATAACCCATATGCATCACTGTGGGTTATGTTAGTGGAATTTTGCTGCTCAGCAGCTGTCCGGGCTATGTGAAGCCAGGCCCACTCCTCCTTTTAACCATCAAAGGTACAGTTCAATCCATTTATGGCTGCCTCAGGGCACTGCTCCACACATCTTTCACAGCAGCTGTGCCAGCTTAATGCATTCCCACCAACTTGACTCAGAAGCTGTGCTGCAATTTGTATCTGCTGATTGATTGGGGGTTAAAAATAAGTTGGATGACTTGACTGGTTCCTTCTTTCAGTTTCCCTGTTCAGTTATGCTTGTTTCAATCCCCTCCCACATCTTTGGTTGAGTGTTCCAATATGCCTGTTCTGTGGTAGCATCAGAAACGTAAAAACAGCTTCTCCCAAGCACCAACCTGTGCCTGGGAATGTGAGCCACAAAGCCTTCCTCTGGTCTTGCTCTAACATCAAGAGTTCTATACTTAAAAGATGGAGACAAATTTGGCCATGGTAAAACTCCAGCACCTTGCTAAAGTCCACTACACAAAGTCATTTCATGTACAATATTGGTCTTTGGAAAGGAGATAAAGAAAATAGAAAATAAGCAGCACTTCTTTGAATGGATTAGAACTTATTATGAAGTAGAACAGTCTTTGTTTTTAATAAAGACTGTTACTTAGGAGAACAGACTATCTCAATCTGCGCTCCAGGACTCATCCTATGAAACACCTGGTGGGTCCTATCAGAAGTTATTTGGCTCCCTCAGTTTCCAGCCTTGGCAAATTACGAGCGGTAAGACTCAAAACTTTGTGCGTCATTTCATTTATTAGAATAATTTTTCCTCTTCCCTGACACTTTACGTGCTATGTTCTGTATTAATAGTGTAGCAGTGTTTCTCAATAGCACTATAATTTACTAATCCACAAAGGGCAGGGATGTGTTTTATATTTCAAGAATTGTGACCAACAGCCCTCTCATCTCTCTCCCAGAGAAACCCGAGAATGTTGTTCCCCCCTGCATGGTAAGTAAGAAGCAGAACTTTCTCTCTGAAAATACCTGTCTTCCCTGTGAAGTGATCCTGGAGCTCCTTGTGCCTTTCATCCATCTGCTGTCAATTTAACTGGCTCCACGAGCAAGTGGCGCCTTCATATGACCTTGCAAGAATTTACAAAATCTGGTTTCTATAAAAAATAAGGGGTGATCCCCATGTTTACCCTCTTGCTCAACTAGCCATGTTTTGTTACTACCAGCTTGTGCTAGAACATATCCACGTCTTCCCCACCAACTCAAGCCTGGCTCTGGGGTGCTCTGACGACCTGGCCAAGTTTCCCAGCTGCCGAGGTTACCTCAGCAGAGCAGAGGCTGGTGCAGATGTGCGGTGGCTGTGCCCTGGCTGCCGTGTTTCTGGAGAGCTGGAGCACAGCACCGGGGCTCCACAGCCCGGCAGAGCCTCCAGCACAGATCAGACTGGGTGTGCACGGCCCTGGCTGCCTCTGAAGCCCTGGTCTGCACCACCTGGGCAGACCAACACCAGCCTGGCCCTGCCCAGGCCAGCGGGGTTGTTGTGCCCGTGTTTAATGCGCACGTGTCCATCCGTGAGCTCGCAGTCAGCCGGACCTGAGAGGCCAGCAGAGACATGGAAAACATTTACAGAGCCATAGGAGGATTTGGGCTGGAAGGGACTTTAAATATCATCTACGTGTGTCTGTGAGTAGCAGAGGGAATTGCCTGGTGTCTGTCTTGAATCTTTGAGCTCAGACTGACCGGGGTGCTGGTCGGCTTTACCACTGTGTGAGGTTCCACATGTGTGTGTCAGACCACATATCCCCAGAACAGGCATTTCTCTAGTGACATTTAGCCTTCGTTTTCCAAATGAACACACTGACTTGCAGCAAGGCAGTCTTTCACAGGATGGAACTGTAAGCATTTATTTACCCAGGGTGTAACTTTTATCTTTCACCAGAATGCAGATACGAGCTGCTTTATGACAGGATTACGTATGTAAACTTGCACTTTATAAAAATTTGGAAATAAAACCTTTGCCTAACAACAGTCATGTTCTTGGAAATCAAGTTCCATCTACGGAAGCCTTTCATGTTAGAGATATATCCCACATGTGAGTCATTGTTACAATTCAATAAATACTTTACAAAAATAATGCTAGCTTTTTAAAAAAACATTAAGACATTTTAAGACACCAGTAGTTCCTCCCAGAAAGCTTCCCTTAAAGAATAGCTACTTCTGTAGGACACCGTGCACTCAGCATGAAAAAAATGGGGGAAAAGAGCTGGTTGCATCTTTTATCCCAGGGAACTTGTGGATTCCACTTTTACTGTTCTCTAAAATAATAAACTTCTTCCTTTTCTTAAAAGAAAGAAACAAGCAGATCCAAACATTCTTCATATTAAAAACAGGGAAGGAACCGTGATCTTTTTGGTCCTTTAAGATGCATTCCTTCTCTGCCCTCACTCCTCCAAAGACCTGCAGTGTGCTCAGTTCACAGGTTGCTGCTCTGGAGATGTAAGCCCCGACAGCTGCAGCAGCTCTGTATCAGAGATGTCTCCAGGAGGGGGCTGTTTGTGACTCCTGCAGACACCAGGACATTTTCTGGCCTGTAGGAAAACCACAGCTACATCTTGCTGCAAGCCTACCCCAGGTGGACTGCAAAGACCTGAGCTAGAAGGTAACAGGAAGAATTCCAAGAGAAAAATTGCTAGGGATTTTCTGTATTCACTTTTGACTATTACCCTCACAAAAAAATTTCTTCCTTCCTTAGATATGACTACTCATGAAACCAATTATAGAGAAAACTGATGCTGTAGGTGCATTAATCTCGTAAACCATTCCCATATGGAAGAATACATTCTTCAATCCCATTGTTTATAACAACTTTTAAATATGTGCCTCCTCAGCTGGGGCCTTGGGGCCTGATGGTGATGGCAGCCACCCCCCACCCCCTTCATTATGTTACAGATGGGAAATAAAATGAAATGCACATTATTACATGAACATTATTGCAGTATAAAATCCTATCAGGACAAGACTTATGTACGTCTGTATGCAAAAATAGGTGTGTGTGAGACAGAGAGATATGTGTTTATAAATTACACACACTGTGAAAAATACTTATGTATTATATTACAACTATATACATTCATTAGAAAGGAGCTGATCGACCCCTGTCGAGGAGCCAACGCAGCAGCCAACATCAGTTCTTTGGCATCCAGGAAACGAATGCTATTTTGCATCTGAAGAAAAGGAAAATCTCCTCAGTATTCCCTCGCTTCTTGAAACTGCTTGTAGTAGTCTTCGTCTGACGGGTTTTCTGTACACTTCTGCCCATTGTTGGGAGGCCGGGCTTCATTGTAGCGGCTCCAGTCCCCTTTGCATATGATCCACGGCAGAATGTCCACTTTGTAGTGGAGTTCTGCTGAGAATTCGATGCTGATCAGGTTGGGTGTTCCTGCCCCTTTGCCCCTGGTGATCAGCTGCATGTTGTCATCATAGCAGCAGTGCTGCGCCGCGAGCGTCGTGCTCTCCAAAGACAGCATGGAGCGGATGCAGTAGCGCGCCGTGGGCTTGTAGATCTCCAGCTTTTCCTTCGGACCGCTCGCGTCCTTCCAGCGGAAGTTCTTCCTCTTAAGTCGGTCATAGATCTCAGCAGTGCTGTACGCCACTTCTCTGGGGTAGGAGCAGGGGCAGCTGGGAAGATCGTTGACCACTTTGTGCATGTATTTCTTCAGGAACTCGCTCTTGCAGCTCATCCATCTCTCACAGCTATCAGTATCTGTTTCAGGGCAGGAAATGGAAACTTAAGATACATTAAGCAGCATCCTGGTTGGTGTGATCAGTGATAACAAGTGAGTAAAGCGTAGCTGTTCAGCACCAGTGCTCTGCTGCAGAAAGGAAGGGCGGTCACAGCTTGCTGCCCTGCCCACAGTGCGTTACTGCGCTGTCTTGTCAGGTAAAGAAGTCAGGTGTGACTGACTTCAGGGCCTCAGGCAGTGCCAGTCTGAGTTACAGTGCAGAACCAGGCCAGTAGGAATCAGTGACACTTCTACCTGGCAAATTCCTATTAGGCTACTGATACCTGCATGCAGCACAAGAGACACAACCATGGGCTGGCAAACCAAGAAAAAGGGAAATCGCAGTGATTTGGTGCCAGCTGGAACCCTTAGTCAGAACACACTCACCAGGAAAAAAGGCAGTCAGATGTTGAAAGATTAAGTTTCAGATGATGCTAGAGATTCCAAGATGACAAGCAAGGCCTGGATTACTCTCTCTGAAGTTCATTTTAGGCCCTAATTCAGTCTTTCTTTAAAAAACAAATATTTTTTTCTATTTGCTATCCACTTTCCAAAGGGATATTTCAAGCATCTGTAGTTCAAACATGGAGACTGACATCTTAGCTGGCAAATACAGCCCAAAGTGATTCAGGTTCTAAAAGGGCATATGTAACACAACATCAGAGTGGCTGTACATCAGCAGGAGTTTATGGCACCAGAGCCATGACAGACAGCTGGGATTAAAGAGATTTGTAGACCAGTAGCATATTTAGTACTAGCACTTTATTATTTTGTAAGACACTTGGGAGAATCCAGTTAAACATCTCCTACCTAAAACATTATTTAAAGTGTCTATATCATCCTATGGGCTGTCAAAAACCCCTGGCATATCTTGCTCCACACTTACTTAAGAGGACTCTGCAGGAGGGTTACTAACTGGGACCTAAAACTCTTACAGCACACATTCTTGCAAAATATTTACTTAGTTATCTGTGTCCTGTTTTTCTATCTCCTTAAAGAGTCTCATCCTGGCTGTCATTAACTACTGTGCTCTGCCACCATAGGGGGGAGGTGCTGGGTTACACTGTTTATCCAATTAATCCAGCAGGCAGTGTCTCTGAGTGGTCACACTGTGAATTCACTGAAGGGAGAAATGAGAACACTGGATTGAGTTTTAGATAGCTCAGAATCAAGCCATGCCCTATCAAGTTACTTTGGCTACTCCCACTGCAGCACACAGAGCTATAAAAGCAATGCATTATCATAAAAATCATTGCCCTTTTTTGTTTTTTTTTTATGTGACAGGTGTATTTAAAATGTTTTTACAGGGTCTTCCATTTGAGGCTATTTCAACAAAATAATAATGTTTGATTTTTTCACCCCCTCTGTTAGTGTGGAGTCTTACAGCTTTTCTCTGAATTAGGACAACAAATAACCCTTTTATGATGAGACAAGCACAGGACTTGAGGGGAGAAAGATTTTAAGACCAAAGCAAATGTTCAGATCACAAATGCAAGCAAAACAATAAATGGCTAGCATTTATTTATGCTACTTTATATTAACTATTAGTTATTAGTTATAATTATAATAATATAATTCTAATGATTAACAAAATTAAATAGATAAATAATTCTAATTATTATATTATAAAATAATATTGTGAATAATAGAAATAATTACATAAATATGTAATTATAATATATTAATTACTAATATGCTATTTTATATTGATTTATATTTATTTTTCTACTGACATTTTTAATGCTCAACTGAGTCACTTGATCCCACAGGACTAAGAAAACCCTAAGGAAGTCTCTCATCTGTTACTGAGGTATTGACCAGGCTGCTTACCAACTTCAAACAGTTTGGTTGCATTGAAGTCTTCACTCCCTGCAAGTAAGCTGACTTCTGTGGCCGCTGTCCGGAAGGTGTCTTCGATCCCTGAGACAAACACCTGTTAGTGGTGCTGGTGTTTTCCCATCACAGCACAACAGAACCAGCCTCCCCCTTGCCACCCCTCCTTCCCCAGACTCTGCAAGGTGCTTTGTTTTGGCAGGGAAGCATTCTGGACTGCTGGGCTGTTCCAGACTGGTGCTTGTTGGTTTCTCCCAGTGCCAGGGAGTTAAAAGTGTGAGTAGGCAAGAGATAACCAACCTCTTCAAACAATTCTATCCCCATCACTTATAGCTGTTCAAATAAAATACCAGGATCTCAACATATCAGGATTTACCAGCAGCCTCCAGTTAATTGTTTGCTATCAACAGAGAGACACAGAGATTGCCAGAAAAATGATCTTGCCAAAGTAAACTTCGTTTTGTTGCTGCTTTAGTTCAGCCTATTGACCTGACAAACATTTCTGTGCCATGTAGGCTTAACAGAAATAGGTTTTAGGGTTTTTTTTTCCCTTTCCTCTGCATTGAATTAAAGACCTCTAAAGAGAGCAGAAAGATCTTTAATATGTGATAACTATATGGTTAATAATGAAGCCTGTTCAGCAGCCATCTTCTTGCCAATGAACTTTCTCCTGATCTCCTGAACTGGGGCATAATAGTGGCTTGCAAATCTTCAAAACAGCCTCAGGCCAATTTTCAATAAAATTATCATAGGGTTTTGCCTAACTCCAGCACTAGATGTAGAATAATAGATACCCAAGAACCCATTACAGGGCAGTAATTCTCTGCTGGAATTATAAACAGCAGAAGCTGAGCTTTGACTTGGTAATTTCAAAAATGTCAGCACAGCCTCAAAGAATAAATATATTTTGCTTGCTGATCGTTGGAGGTCTGTTATATGACATAATATATTCTTTCAAGTTTTCCACTTTTTGGTGCTAGCTGGTAATAAATACTAGAGAATACTGGGTTACTGGGAGTTACTTGCTTTCTTCTGGAATTAACTCCTTATTATTGAGGTTTTAGGATGTATGAGAGCATGCAGAAACATTTTTCCCCTGAACTGCCTCGCAGTTGTTGCTTTGCAATGGAGACACAAGTCTATCTGTGAGTGAGAAACTTCTCTCCAAGTCTCTCACCACCTCTTCTAAGTCTCCTCTCCAGCACTGCTGACATTTCACTTCCCATTAAAAAAGCCTGACCTCCAGTTTAAGAATTTCTGCTTTTCTGAGTCATTAAGTAAACTAAGAGTAATGCATACCACTGCAATCTGTTTTTTTCACTTCTCTCTGATCTTGGGAAGTAATGAACTTGCACCTATCCCCTGCATTGTGGCAGCTACTGCGTGACAAATTGGTGTAAATTCAAACACACAGCAACCTTTAAAAAACAGTTTTCCATAGCAGCTTCAAATTTTCATGATGTAGCCTCGAGTGCTCAGCCCTGATTTTGCCAAAGTGAAGATTGTGCGATGGTAAGGACACTTTAAATGTCAAATCCTGTGAATGGGTAGGAGCTCAGGCAGGGCTCCTTGGCCATATTTTCTGAATCTACTCAAGCTAAAACTGAACATTCCTTCATCCCTGTTCACCATGCAGGCAGTGCCATTCACTGCACACAAAGCAGGAGCTCGCAGAGGTAACAGCACAGCTAGTTTGAATTCTAAAACAACTCCAAATTTGTTTCAAGGCAGTAGATTACACCCTTTAGAGAAGAGAATGTCCGTGCACAAAATTGACTGCCATGACCTAAAGAAAGCCTGTACTTGTCTTTTAACTCCCAGGGGATGCTGGACTGCACCTAGCAGCGTATCATTACCACGAATAAGCGGTGTTGAAAATCAGCGTGTCTTTTCCCACCAGAGCCCTTCCTTGCCAAGGAACACACGGGCCCCATGCCCCGTGTGCAGGAGGGCTCTGCCCACCCCTGCCCACCTCTCCCTGCTCCCCTGGCAGCAGCTCCCACCAGTGGTTCCCACCTGGGCAGTGGGGCCTGTCGCAGGTGCGGGACTCGGTGGCGGTGCAGGCGTATCCGCAGGACCTGGTGCGCTTCTGGCTGCCGCTGCCGCAGGTGACGCTGCACAGGGACCAGGGGCTCCAGTCGCCCTCGCCATCCATGTAATCTGTGCGAGGACAAACGTGAGGAAGGAAATGAGGAAACAAAACTCCTACTACCCAAAACTACTGTGTAGTGGTTTCTATTAAGAAGGCAAAACAAGAATGGAATCCAGATGTCTCTACCTGAAGCTTGGGCCGAATGCCAGGCGCGAGCCTGCTGTTTAAATGGTTTTCACACTTGATGCTCCTCGGGGAAATGCATGCAACATTATTTGAAAAAATATTTCCTTTCTCTTTTGACCTTTTGGCAGCTGAGGATCCTCAGCTGCAAAGCTGGGTCATGAACTAACAGCACACATCTATTCACGTCATTTCCCTGCATATAGGAATGTGTTTGTGGACCACAGACTAACCAGGCGAAGGATAAATTGAGTTTTCCTTTTCATCTTTTTGAAACACACAACAATAGCAGAACAATACTCAATTTTTGGGCAAGACACGTGTTGTTGGGGTATGGGAAGCTAAGGATCATGAGTGAAAATCACAGTTTTGTTTTTCAGCCCCTTGAACAGAGAACAGATATCCCAGGAATACTGCTATAAGAACAGGGAACTGCATGCTCCTATTGCACCGAGAACAGCACTCAATCTTTAGTGTTTCATGTGAATTATTAAATAACATCAAATCTGACTATTTACTAGAAGGAACCTTCTGAAAAAGAAACATGATTTTATCCTCTTCTGGTAGGCAGCCAAAGGCACTGGACACCAGGTCTGCAGCACAGAGGCTGATGCTGCTGCGAGTACCTAAACTCTTGAGAACCAGCCTCCTTTGTGTGCTGTGTTAACTGCTGCACTCCCCAGCATGTGCAGGCCACCAAACCAAGCCCATCAACCCATCCCAGCTTTCTTGCCTTCCCACTGGCCTCCCCAGCTGAGGGAACATGTGGCTTAATGGCTTTCCCTGCAAGCTGCAGAGATATTTGACTGACCCTGTGATGATAACTTGCAGCCGTAGCTCCTTTGGGTTACACCACCACCGGCAGCAAAGCAAAACCCAGTTTAGTGGCTCTGAGGCAGCCCTGCTCTGCAGCTGTAGGTGAGAGTACCCAAGCCACAGCAAGGCCCAGGGAGCCTTCCTGGCCTCTGTGCTACACGCAATTCCCGCTCCCCCAGGGCCATGCTGTCTGTGGGCTTCCTGAGCTGGTTAGTAGAACACGTAACTTGATTTGTACCATATGTAATGACTGACGACAACCCTGTGGGGTGCTATTAAACATTTATTGCCAGGAGTATGGGAAGGTTATATATCTCTCTTGGAGCAAGCTGCCTAGATGGGAGTTCCTCATGGCAAGGACCTTATGTGTTTCTCCTCCTTTTCTGACACATCTGACAATGGGGAAGGCACCACACTGGAATCAGGTGTCCGTGGTGGGATGTGGGTGTGAACATGGACAATGCCAGTGTGCAGGACCTGTGGTTCTGGGATTTGCCAGCAGGCAGGCACCACAACAGTCCCAAAAGGCATCATATGTCTCAGGAAAATGTGATCTGTCCTCTATGCCTGGCCCTGCTCTTCTTCCCAGCTCTTTCCAAACTTTTATCTCCACGTGGCTGGTGAGGAGCAGGGTAGGTAAGCAGGTGCAATGCAAAGCCTGACAAACAGCCCAGCCCAAGAGGCCCAGGAAGGGCATGGAGAGCCCTTGGCAGAGGCAGGAGGAGAGAGGCACACAGAGGGAAGGTGTGAACACGTCAGTGGGTGGAACATCTACACCCCTGATGGGCAGGATCTGCTAGTACATCCTCCTGGACAAGGCCAGCATTTCAGGTTAGACAGAAGACTAGGAGTTGTTTCCAGTTAGTTGGATGCTCTGGTGTGCAGCAGAGAGCCATAATAATTTTTAGATAATTTTTAGATATTTTAAAATGTACATTAAAATTTATTTTAATAATTTATTTAAGCTGTATTTTGAAAAGTTAATATTTATTTAAAACTTATTTTAAAATATTTATTTTATTAAAATATTATAATTATAAATTAAATTAAAAAAATTAGATATTTTTAGATAGTTTTTAGACCTACCTACTTAGTGTTTACACTGCACTATGAAGCACACTATTGAACAGACCATGTTAAATTTTCAGCTGCAGCTCAACCTGTTTGTCCTGTTTTCATATTTGTAATTCTTACTATGTTTTTTTTCCTATCACAATTATTTGTGAAAGCAATTTTATTTAACTTAAATGAATAACAACCTAAGATATGAATTCTTGTCAGTAAAACCTGCCCACAAATAAATGTAGGTACAAAAAGAAGGGATAGACGTTAATCTTCTGGCCACAAAATTTAATACATATGTATGTGCTTAAACACACCATTCCATAAAAACTCTCTCTTGATTTTTAAGACTCTAGTACTTCAAGGTAGCCAAATGATGGGAAAAATAAGTTTGTTTTACTCAGGCACTCTGCAGCATCTGGGGAATAACAACAGAAACGCCAGGGTAAAAGTACCGTGGCTTTGACACCTTGTTCTGACTAAAAGTTGTCTGTGTTTACACACAGCTTAAATTCAAGGGGCTCTGAGTTTCCTGTGAGCACAGCTTAGCTCACCTCCCTTGGGTCATTCCCATGTGGATAGTCACAGCCTGTCTGGGCAGTCAATAGCTGTAGCTCCTCTCTGTTTCTAGTTTCTGCAACTGTTTCATACAACAAGCTGAAAACAATTGTTTTCCCTGTGACACATCTGGAAGAATATTACACACGCAAATACACAATGTTCCTGCTGCACATGCCACTCCCCACACATGCACCAACATAACTCATCTTATTTGTGTATCCACCAAATACTACCACGTTTCAGATCTTGCTTATTTGCCCAATAGCTATATTCTGGTTCCCAAACCACCACACGATTCTAAATTTGTACTTACCCTTACTCTAAAAATAAATACGAAACCTTGTTTCCTCTGCTTTTAAAAAAAGCACACGTTGGACTAAAAAAAGGCTCTCTTCTGGGATAACTGGTATGATTTTCAAGATTATAGACTTCCTAGTGGAATGCAGCTACCACAGTACAGCTTGTGCATCTGCACAGATTTGTATTTGAAAGCTGATGAACAAAAGCCACATGTTGAAAATTTCTATTTTGCTTGGCTTGCTCTCAGCGATGCCTCACCATTCTCATTTCCCCCACGCTTGTTTTTACAATCCCAAGATGCCCATACGAGACCTGGAACGCAAACCTACCATACTCTGGCTGCTCCTTGGACTCGAATGTCCGGTGACTGGGTGCATGGCCATCCCACCCACCCAGAGGGTTGAGGAAGTTGCTGTCCTCAGTAGTGCTGTCGTACTTGTAGTCCTGGTCACCGCTGCTCATGCGAGTCAAGGTGGAGGACCTCTGCCACCAGTTCCTCCAGTCGGGTGACGGGGCTGGCCAGCTGGGCTTGCTGCTCTCCTTCTGCAGATCCTTGTCTGGCTCCGTGTCGGGGCCATCCACCACTTCAATGGTAACCTGTGGGATTCAAAACAGACCAGCCTGACTGTCAGTGCCTCCTCCTCGTCGGTGGGAAACGTCCCACACAGCAAAGAGAAGGTGCTGCCTGGCAAAGGGGCCCTGCAATACCACGGGGTTCACACATTGTAAACCACACGTGGATTACTGAGCCCGGAGATATGCAGAGGCTGAGTGATTCCTTCTGCTACCTCTGCTGAATCAGACCTTGGAACCAAGGCTAGGAAAAATCCTGCACAAAATAATAACCCATGCTGCGCCTAAAACCTTTGCAGCGGAATTTTCTGTCTTATGGGGAAAATATGTTTAGAGCCTGACATAAATGACCAGGAAAAAGAAAACCAAACCTGTACTCTATGCTGAGGCTGAATTTGAGGCAAGCATGAAGCACACCAGTGTGCACAGCTTGTTCCAAGGACTTGGGCTGACTCAAGATAAGCAAGGCCATGTGTTTGAAGGTCAAGATGCAGAGCCCAGGTATCTCTGGGTTTGCATCTGTCTTGCCCCTCTGGTTGCAGCCCAGCTGTTACTGCTGCATGAAACCACACTGTGGCAGTGATGGGAGCCAGCAGCTCCTCTGACCATTGCTGAGTAAGCCACTTGCTGCAAAGCCCGCTAAAGTAGGTCCTTTTATCATGCTGGAAGAGTATAATGACCTATTATGGTCAACCTGTTTATGGTTTCTAACAGAAGCCCAGAACCAAAATTCAAAGTTTGCTGCCCAGTTCCCTCACAGATATCACAAATGTCAGTACCATTCTGCATAGGAGCAACCCTTGATTATTGCTTTCTGTGCTGAACAATGTGCAATTGTAAAACTCTTGGATAAATAGTGTGTGCATATAGGTGGCTATTTAGGTAGAAGCAGAGACTAGCCATCAGAAACCTTGTCTCTGTGAGTCATGCAAGCATTGCCTGGCCACAGACAGATCATAAAATGCCCTGATGTTTCATGCTAATGTGGTTCACTGATTACACTGGACTGGCCAAACAACCAGAAGTGATTGTCAGATGTATCTGTTATGTTTAATAGGTACTGAGGCATTCCCAGCCTTTCAAGACGGTACACAATGAAAATCAGGTTGTATAAAACAGAAATAATGTACTACTATGCTAAAAGTCATTTACACAGCTCTGGGGATGTGCAGTGTGCATAAAAGATTATACAACTGCTATTAGTAAAATCACAAGATACGCACAAGAAAAAGAAAGAAAAGGTCAGAGCTACCTGAGTGTGACACAGGAAGCAAAGCAGAACTGTCTTATCATCAGAGCTGCAAACACAAACAATGCCCACACATCCCTTCTGTGGAGACAGGAGGTTTTGAATCTATTCCACGCCTTGCATTGACCATAGAATGGTACCAATGGTTACCAATGGCCACCAGGCCATTGAAATGAAGAAACTTGCAGGCTGCTATGAAGCTCCACTGGGAAAAAGAGCAAGGGCAAGGGAAAGTGCAGTTGTCAGCCTAATAGCATCTTTACACAAGGAGTATTTCACTCCCAGCCTAAATATGGAACTGGAACAATTACTTCATTAAACCTCCGTTTCTACAGACCAATAATTAAAAAGGATTTCATAAGCTTGAAAACATCAGAGTCAGTTCAGGGATTCAAAGTTGTTACCTCTATCCAAGCAAAACAGTTTTCACAATAAATGAAAGGAAATCGCCTTAATGAGCAGCAAACACTGCCAGTGGTGGGGCTTTAGTACTCCCCACCTGGAAATCAGTACAATTCCAGTACTTTAGCAGCAAGTATTTTTAGGACCACACTAACTCTCTGAGCAATGGCTGAGCAAAGTGGAAAAAAACAAACCCTCTGATTAAATATATATATATATATAATTGCTCTATTTGCTCTGATAATCCGTAGCTGTGTGAAAGTCATTCAGCATGAACTGGAATTATTTCAGCCAGGGACAATTTGAAGAACCACAGGAACTTGATGTTAAATAATGATTGATGATGCCAAGTCAGCTTAGGAAAAGAGGGTTTGCAGGGACAGAGAAACATCAGCTGAGCTTGGTGCTCACTGGTGAGGAAGGGCACACACTCCCAGTGTCGTCAGACCCCACCAGACCCCCAGCAGCACTTCCACGAACTTGCTTCCAAGATGTGCAATCAGCTACTTCAGTCTGCTTTTACCTCTGAGGAAGCTTATTAGAAAGGCCTCTAAAATGAGTTTTCCAACACACAGGCAATTTAAAAACCAAGAACAGCAGAAGCAAAATCCAGTGTGGTAGACTGACATACCTATATTCCCCTCTCAACTGCTTTAAGCTTTGATTACCAAGGTGTTTATTGTGGCATAAAAATCATACACTGAAAGAAATTCTATAAAGAATCCTGGGATTGTTTTAACTGCCACTCTTGGAAATTAGAAGCCAGCTTCAATCAACTCTGGTGTTTTCACGGACTTGGCTTAATGGACCTTCCAGAGGCAGGGAGGAAATCAGTGCGTAATCCTAGTAATCCCTCCTCCACTCTATGACCCAGAAGTTAGGGCAGAATTGTGAGAAGAGGCTGCTGTTTCACGGGAGCAATTGCTTCCTTATCCCAGTCTAAAATTTGGAAAAATGAGCTTTCACTTCCCAGTACTTACAGACAGACTTACGGTGTTAGTCCATGGCTGCACTTACACTTGTGCACATACATGGCACTGAAACACGTAACTTGCTTGATCAGTTTCTGTATTGAGGGCTGTTTATAACAAGGAATAAAGAAATCAAGAGCTAGAGAATAAAGATCAAGAACTAGAGTAATAAAAAACAGGCGTTTAGAGAAGCTCTGGAAAAGCTTTCATGCTGTATAAGTATTCCAACAAAAACATGTTCTCTTAAAAATTAAAAAATAGATCTGGTTTAGCAATTCTGTCTTGGAGACCATTCTAGAGGCTGATTTCTTCTTCCAGTGATTATCAAAACTGTAAAGATTCTTTTTTTTCCTCAAGCTTCCCAAAATGTCTGTGGTAACACAGTTCTTGTATAAATCCACAATCATCCCCAGAAGTATTCAAACCTAAAATAAAGCCACTTCTTTTATGGTTGTTCGGGCTAGGAATAAGGACATTCCTCTGAAAACTGTTAAAAGCGATTGGCGTAGGCACATTAAAACAACAGATTTGCAGTCAATTTCTAATGAAACAAGTGTATCACGCACAGATGTCTCCAGACACCAACATCCAATTTTCTCCTGGCCAAAAATATACAGAAGATAAATATTATCCCAGCCTGCTGGAGTGCACAAAAAGTTCTGTGTTCTTTGTCCTGTTTACTGAGACAATGTTTCTGAATTCACTTTACTGGTGTAAACATTGCCCTAAGTGACTGGAAGATTATGTTTCAGGAAGAACTATATTTGTGATATTGTGCAAGCAGCGGATCCTACAACATTTCTATCCTGTTTCTTTCATGCAATCAATGCAAATTTTCAATACAGAACTTGCCATTCTGGTAAGATAGACATGAGCAAGTCAGCAAGGAGGTAAGTATAACAGGGGAATAGGAACAAGGTCAGTATAAGAGATTGAAATGGTAAATCTGGCTTTACATCACATAATTTTAATTAAAATGCTATCAGCACTGACACTAATTTACTTCTGGCTGTGTCACGTCACTTAGAACAGTTTTCTGGACTTGAAAGGTGAAACTCTCTCAAACTTTGTTGGGAGGAAAGAAGACACCGTGACTTGAGACTTGAAATTTCTATTTAATGCTATCAATCTAATTTGCAATCTCTGATGAGCCCAGCTGAACCCCAGAAATAAAACTGTGTTCTAGCTCTGAATTCTGGACTCTGCAGTGAGCTCTTGTCACAGCATGACATAAAGAAACCTGCACAGCTCTGGTATTGACAGTGGTTTAACCTTGGCCCCCTGGACCTCGGCTCTGCCTACACAAACCTCTCCATCTGGCCAGAGGAACATCCATCACCTGCAAGGCTGCACCGTGCTTCCAGCGCTGCACCCGGCAACAGCTGCTTTGCTCCTGCCCCAAGGTATTAAACCTTACAGGCCTTACAAGGAACAAGCACTGCTGGAGCCCTCTGGCTCTTCCTGTGCTACATTAGAGATGAGACTGGTAGGACTGGTCAGACACTCTTGAGTCTCATGTGACAATACCAAGAGGGTGTTGTCTTCCAATGCAGTGAAACCGGCAGCTTCAAATGACCAAATCTAAATGATAGCTAAAATGTATGTCTAATAACATGTGTGAAAAGTGACATTATGGTGCAGGTGGAGGTGAGGGAAATGGCCATGGATGAACCTGAAGAAGAGCTGAGGTCTGCAGCTCTGTTTTTCAAAGCAGATTGCACAGCCTTGTTTCTCCGTAGTTGCGCAGTTCCTGGAGTGGGTGGTTTTGTGTGGGTGTAAGAGAAGGCAGTAATCCAGTAGGTATCAAAGAGAGAAAATAGGTAACAAGTGGATAACAAAGCTAGCACAGCAGCACTGCAGTGGTGTGACTGGTGGGTACGGCCACAGGCCCTGTGGCAAATGACAAAGACCGAGCAGGAATTAACTTCCTCTGGTGTAAAACCACTCCTATCAATTAACACGGTTATCAACATGGTTTAAACAGGAATCCCACATGTTTCTGTGCAGTTTTCACCCAGAACATGTCACCTCATCAAAATCTTGAACACATCCATTACAACTGGAGCTCACCCAGCTGTGTTTCAGCTCTATTGGTTATGAAGCTTGACCAAGATCTACGTTCAGTGAGGAGCATTAATGTCAACAAAAATCCCTTATTGCCCAAAGAGGTTGTGAACTCCCTGGCCCTGGAGGTGTGACAAGGCTGGATAGGGCTCTGAATTACCTGATCTAGTGGAAGGTGTCCCTGCCCATGGCAGGGGGACTTGAGCTAGGTGATCTTGAAGGTCCTTTCCAACCCAAATCACTCTATGGTTCTATGAGTTTTCCCTTTTCTGCTCATTTGTGATGGTGTCAAGCACTGCCAGGGAAGCAGCAAAGCAGTGTGGCACCAGAGCAGCACACTCCCTGTCCCTGTTACAGCACACAAACCTGGGAAAACAGTAGTAAATAGAAAAGGTGAGGGAGGAGCAAGAATTGAGTTGTAGGTTGAAACATCTGGCTCCAAACAGAGGGTTGGCTGCAAAGAATGGAGAGGTTGTAGAAGGTTGTTTGGAGCAGACAAGAAAAACCCACTAGAAATGTAAAATAGGCAGGTTCCTGCACACCTCCCATGTGACTTCATTCTGCTACTCAGGGGAAAGAACAATTCTGGCTTTGAATAATAACCCTGACCAATTACAGGGTCTGCATAGACATCCCTTGGCTGGTCTGTCAAACAGGTGCAAACCTGGACAGCAGGGATTTTCCACTTGTGAAAGTAAATAATAATAAAAAAACCCCTGCAATCAGTTTTCGTAATCACATTCTCATCTAGAAGTCTTCCAGGCACTGACAGAATTGTTAAAATGACAGAACAGAAAAAAAAATACCCCCAAACAAGCAGCCAGTCTGTCCTCAACAGCAGCTACTGTGGTTATTCTCAACTACCAGTGTGGAAGCACAGCAAAAGCACAAAATTCAGCTTTAAATGATGGGAGATTTTAAAAGGGTAGAACACCACAGGAAGGCCAATAAGGGTTGTCCTGGTCTTGTATGCAAAGAGCCATATTAATTTGGATTACTGCAGCTCTGACTGTTGCTTCTGAGGGTTTTCTAGAGACAGTCTGCTGTACTTACATTATCCTCTAATAAATACGGTGGTACCTGGGGTAATCTGAATTCCTCTGGTGGTGTTCTGATATTCACCAGTTCATCACTAAATGAGCACATATCAGGGCATGATACAGCAAGCACCATCTCACAGGAACCAGAGATGGAATGGCTCTAAAGAGAACTCACTGGAGTATCTTCTCCATCTGCTTTTTGGGAAGAATTTTACACCTCTTTCTTAGATTTTTAATTCCCCAGGTATAATTTCTGTTAAAAAATGTTATTTTTGGTCTATGCAGTAGAAGGAAAAAGAGGTTTTGAGTCTTTGAGAAGAAAATGTGGCCATTGTGCTATCTTAAAACAGAGGCTGTTTTTTCCTATCCAACCTCTCAGTCCTAGGAGGACTCTTTAAATCAACACTTCCAGGATTGTAACTTACAGGTCTGGGAGCCATTGTGCAAAAAGGAAAATAAGCATCAATTCTGTTTTCACCTGCCAAATACTGATGAGAAATTTGCAAGTCAACAAGTGTCACTATTTCTGTTCAGGTCAGTACAGTACTGTTTAACAAGCAAGAATTCATTATAATCCTGTTTTTTTATAAAAGAGTAGGCCAACTTTTACAACCTTTAGGCAAAAAAATAAACTTTCTCTGACTCTGTAAGGAATTAATGGGAGTTTTATCTCCATGAGGCTTGACCAGCTGTAAGACTGTCAACCAAGAACTTAAAGAAGCTTTGTATAATCACTATTTACGCACCTAAGTAAGCAGAGTAAATTCAGAGTAAATAAAATGCAGAACTTAGGGAGCCTGTTTCTGAAAGGGTTCATCCTTGTGCACAAGAGCTCTGGGATCGATGTTGCCCCTTTCCAGTTTACAGGACCAGTTTTCCAAGCTCTCAGAGTCTAGCAAAACTGCTGACATAGCTGCTGACACATTTCCAAGATCAGGTGCTGGAAAAAGAGGTCACAGCAGCAGCAGTTACTATGAAGACAAGCCAGGGAACTGTTTCCATCTCTTTTATCCCTGTGTCTAAACACTGTATGCTGTTACCACTCAGGGAAGGTTTTTGCTTTCTCCTGTTCTATTCTCTGGTTTACATACTGTTCAAAAAGTGATTTGTTCAAAGAGCATGATTTGCCTCATGCCACAATCTGGGGCCCCTACAGCTTCCAATCTTCCCTTCCTAAAGCTTTCTGGAATGGTTCTCCTAGCACGAGAGATGTGTTCCATCACCAGATGTTGAACATGTTTACTCCCTTGGCCTGTCAACTATTAGACCTTGACCCAAATCTGTGAGACTTCCTAATGTTCCAACTCATCTATGGGGAACGCGAGGCAGCGACGCTGTGGAGGCAGCTTCTACTCCCCCACTCATGGAGTCATGCCCTGGTTTGGGTTGGAAGGGGTCTTAAGGATCATCTCATTCCACTCCCCTGTCATGGGCAGGGACACCTTCCACCAGAGCAGAGCCCCATCCAGCCTGGCCTTTGACACCTTCAGAGATGGGCCAGCCACAGCTTCTCTGGGCAACCTGTGCCAGAGCCCTGAGAGTAAAGAATTTCTTCCTAAAGCTACTTCCTCAAACTACTAAACTTATCCTCTGCCAGTTTAAAACCATTCCCTCTTGTCCTATCACTCCATGCCCTTGTAAAAAATCCCTCTCTGGCTCTCTGGGAGCCCCTCAGCACTGGAAGGTGATCTAAGGTCTCCCCTGAGCCTTCTTTTCTCCTGGCTGAGCAGCCCCAGCCCTTTCAGCCTGTCTCCAGATCAGAGGTGCTCCAGCCCTCTTGAGCATGTTGGCCTCTCACCATCAGATCTGTTACATCTTTACATATGTATTTCTTAGACATATCAAAAGGATGGTAATTTTGTGGGCTGGGGGACTATAAGAAGCCAGGAATTAATTTAACCAGAAAACCAGATCTATTAGTGCATTGTTTTTATAAGCACATCTTAGGCAGAACAACATTTGAATTTATTGTTCTGGTTAAAATGACTGCTTATTAATGCCAATTTTGCTTTAAGGCTCTGAATTAAAAACAAATCACTCATTTTTTCCTCTTTCCGATCCTTGAAGTTTCAAGATGCAAGTGGCTTGTAAGAGGCTGTTCCAAACCCAAGAACAGTTTGAGGAATAACATATAACAAAGTTTCTTTGCAGACAACTTTTTTTGTACTACAAGCAGCTGCTGCAGAAATTAAATCTAAGTCTCGCTTCCATACATAGGAATGCATTTTGAGCTGAAACCGAAAGACTTATTCTCTGTCAGCCTTTGGGGATGGTTGCATTTTATACTAGCATACAAAAAGCAAATCTGTTCACAAACAAATTTTACAACAGCAAATTGAAGGCAGAAATTAAAATACCCATTTATTTTCAATGAAGGTAATATGCTCCAAAATGGAAATCACAAAGATGGGTTTAGTATCACAAACAGGTCTACGTTGATCTCCACACTTATGCAATCAACACCATCCAAGGAGAAATTCAGAAAAAAATTGCAATATGTGCATTAACTTAGAGAGAAAAAGTATGTGTTATATATATTTTATATATAATACTATATTACGTTATACTGTACAGATGGATTGCTCTGCACATCATGGAAAGTCATCTTGGCTCAGTAAAATAACTTTGTGTAAGTTATAAAAAAGTCAGATGTTAACATAAATTTGTACCTGAATGTTGGGGTTCTGCCCATTGATATCTGCTTTTGACAGGTCAGGGAAGTTTGGGAGGTCCAGGAGAAAAGACCTGGGTCCGTCTCTTTGCAAGGACGTGTGCCCGTTCTCCTGCCTGAACTGCTCCTTAGGAAACGGCCGGTGGGCAGCCTGGAGATCGGGGAATTCTCGTCTCTCCTCGGGGTTCAGGGTGAAACTGTCCTCAGGAGAATGGTCCTCTGCAGTCAGCGTGTTCTGGGGAAGAAAAGCAAGGCCCAGTGATGACAACTGAGGGTGTACAGTCCTGCCAGTGCCCCCGTCCCCGCAGTGGCTGCAGCCTTACAGCACCCAGAGCCACGGCTCGCTGCTGAAACACAGATCTGTAACCAGCTGACACAAGAGAAAACTCAGTCAGACTTGGGGACTTGGTTCCTCCAGGCTCCTGAACCGTTCCAGCCTTGTGGTGAGCACCTACACATGGACACAAGCATCAGACTTAAAACAAACCTAGAAACATGAGGCTCTGAAGTAAACCCCTGGGAAATCAAATCGTACCACATTAAACATGTCCCTAAAAATGCTGAAAGGCATCCATCTTATAAATCATTTTAGTTTGCTTTGTTCCAAAGCAAAGCAAAAACACTGACTGCTAAGGCCATGTTGAAATTTATGGTATTAAAAGATCCTACCGCTGAGCTGGCAACCTCCCCTTCTCTCCCCTCAGTCTGCAGCAACTTCCATCTCGTCTCTGTGTTCCTCACCCAATTCCTCTGGCCTTGAACATCTGAACCTTCCTTCCTCTGGGATCTCATTTTCATGTTTGCCTAATGGTGGGATTGAATTTCACCAAGCTGTGGGTCAGCGGTTAATGCTTTTGTTATTGTTGAGCGTACTTTTGGGTTTTGTAGTATATTGCAGCAGGCTGCCTCTGAACCAGTAGCACTGCTGCCACTGCCTTTGACCTCACCAAGGAGACACATTTAGTATCAAAACACTGGCTCCCTGGGTGAAGACTGGTCTGGGGACTTGGGGAAAAAACTGCAGAGGAGTCCAGTCTTCTTATGGCTAAAAAAAAAAAAAAAAAAAAAAAAAGCTAAAAGAAAAAAAAAAGAAATAAAAAAGCAAAGCATGGGGCAGATTCAGCACAGGTTTCGGGTTTGACTCAGCTGAAAAATTTTAGCTTGAGGTCTTAGTATGACTGCCTGGGGAGTTTTTATTTTCAGTTCATAAAGAGAGCAAGCATGGAGAGGGTAAATGTTAAAGACCTATCTTTTAAAACAAGCACAATTAAAGTGGAATGGCCACATGTGGTTCTGGCTCTGCTGAAGCATATTTTTGCCAGCATTTCTGGTTAAACACAATCTCCATCCAGCTCCCCTGGTTCAAATTAAGCCACAGCATACCTTTAGCTAAGCTCTCAGATAGATAACAGCTCCAATGCCTTTTATTTTGTGTTTATTTGCTTAGTAGGTTCTAAATTGACTTTAAAGAGATGTTACAATATAACTCGTGCACATTACAGAAAAATATTCAGTGAGTTTAAATAAACTAAGCTTGAAGAATTAATCTCGGACTAAGTGAAATTGTCTCAAGTAAAAATGAAGGTAGTTGTCCTCTACCCTCCTCACTGCACTCTACTTGTAAAGAGCAAAATCAATTTAGCAGAACGAATATTGTCGTTGTATTGTCATGCCCAGAATCGGTACAATCTGAAAGTGCCAAAAGGGTAATTTTATACATTTATCTACAGCACAGGTACAAATTCTGAATTAGGGTATGTCTGTAAGTACAAAAATGTGAGTACTCCTGACAGTCCGCTTTGCTTGAAGGCTAAACCAGGCTCTTCTCTTTGCTGGAGAGCAGGAAGGACTTTCAGATGCCTTTGGTGGCCCACCCATTATTCAATATAAAGTAGAAAGCAGATCACACAGCAGCAAGCTCTGGGAAATGAAACTGAGGGCCACTTAACTAACTTTATGTTCCTTACTCATATGCTAGTGCTTTAACTTAACACTTTTCAGATAGAATTTAACATGCTTGGTGCAGGAGGATTAAATGGCTTTTCAGTTATGTCTGACTACAGGGTGTAATAGTGCTGTGATTAAATTACTTCAGCTAGGAACAAAAAAAGAAGTGGTACTTAACTATTTTTACTGGGGTATCATGCCCATAATCTTACCTTTATTAAAAATAAAGAAAGATTTTATTAAAAACTAGTAAAAGTCTCACATACAATTCCATACTTTCCCTATCTGTCTGCCCCTCCAGGAGCATCCTGGTTCTCCACACCACATACCATGCTGGCCAAGGCCTTTGGAGACCCACATTTAGCTCTCTGCCAGGACCCTGTGTGTGATCCTGACAGGTCACGGTCTGCCGGTGCCCCGGTGGGGACAGCAGCACTTCCCTTCCTCACTGTGATGTTTGCGGGGAGCACAGCAACTAGAGTAATAAGGGCTATATAAAAAGTTTTTAATAGTGTCAGACAGATGGAATATCACATGGAGTTAGTTAGGGAATTGTCATGGTGAAGTAATGACATCAGGCTGATCGGGCCCACTACCAAGCTGCTTGGGGCAGGGACTGTCATTAATTACAGACCGAGCCAGACGGGGCTGCTTGACATTGGGAAGGAAAAAGGAGGGAGGACAAGATAACAGCTCCATCCCATCACTGCAGGCAAGGGAGGATGGACCACTCTGCTTGCCCAGGGTGGACACGACCCAGCAACCCCAGGGACACATCAGGTACACATTTCTGCTGGCAGCGACTGCCCAGCCCCAGAGCAGACACGGAGAGGGACGTGGAGCTCGACTTCAAGAGCAGGGCTGGCTAATGCCTGCTGGGGATGACCCAGGTTAAACTGTGCCCCGTGCTCCCCTAGAAGCAGTGCTGTCTCTCACTGCCCCTTTGCACTAGGAAAGCCCAAGATTGGAGTCCTTGGGCCTCTGCAACACAGGCAGGTGGAAACACTCAGCGTGCCTGGTCATTCCAGTTATCTGCTCATGGTACGAGTGAAAGGACATTTGTTTCCAGTTATTAAAATGAAGAGAACGCCCATTTTTTAGGAAGATACTTCTTAGACAAGAAGTGTCTTCAGTTCTTGGTGTCATGTCTAAGCTGACCTGAAGTATTATTAGAAATGTGCATTTCTGGTAAAAAGATTAAGGAGGCTGCTGCAAATAAAAGTGAGCTTGTACTGCATGTGAAGAGAAGACTATGCTCACCCTGTGCTACTGCATCAGCTCTGCAAAGGCTCTTCCAAGACCCATCTAGCAGGAAAATGTTTGTTCTTATTGCAATGCCAGCATCCTCCTCAAGAAAACAGGGTTTGTTCCAAAGCTAATAGATGAAATGTAATTTTTTTTTGGGGGGGGGGATATTATTATCTTCTTATTTTTATGTTTTTTCCCATATTTCTATTTCACACTATTTATCTTTAAGTGTACACAATTTTATTCCTGATGCTTTTGGGAAAGCAGTGTTGCTTGCCCTCCTTTAAAAGCTTCACTTCATTCAGAACTACTGTTCAAAGAAACGTCAGCTTCTTTAAAGTTATGACATTTCTAATTCAGGCACACTGGTTTGTTACTCAAATGATGCATCTGCTCTAAATATTTTAAGATAAAACACTTTTTTCCCCTTCATTTAAAAGGATTATTCACAATGTTTAAACTTTCCATTAAGATGATTTTAAGAGGTTACTTATACTGGCTGTATGCTACAGTTCTGCAAGCCCCATGGGATCAGATAATTATAGAAGTTCCTAACACAAAAACAGCTTAGGATTTTTGAGTGTTCCAAGTGTGGACAATATATAAGGGCAGGAACACAGTTATATATATAATATATATATATATATAATCCACAGTTGTGTGACAAGGCAATGAAATAAACCCCTGAGAGAGAATCTGACACACTGTGTGCCTTACAGAGTAACACACCTTGATACACCCATCTCTGAAAAAGGGGAGGGCAGTAGGTCAGTACATATCGATGTCTTTGTGTCCATCTAGAAACCACAAAAGAAGAGTAATTCACAGGGATTTTGAGAGGGTAATTTTCAGTGGTGATGATCCAGGTGGGACTTGCATTATGGCAGGGTTCAAGGCCCCAGGAGACAATCCTGCATGCAGGAAAAAATGTTCTCCCTGATAGTGCAGATTAACTCTCCAATAATCAGATTGGTATTTTAACACCCTCCTTGGCCCTCCCGTGATGTTTCTCCCTCTATCACGGTAGACATGAGCTGCAGGGAAATGTTCTGGTTCTCTTCCCCACAGAGAAGCTAAAGAGAAATGGGAACTTGTAAAAATACCAAACTAGAAGAAAAGGGAATTTCTCTGCAATTTTGGCAAGCAAGGGGAACATCTCCCTCCTCTCTTCCTTATTTTAATACAATTTCCAGTTCTGGAAAAAAAACAAACAAGAAAGAGAATAAGTGAGGAATGACTGTAGCTACAGAAAATATTCTGAAGCAGTTGCTCTTTCTCTGCCCTTCACATTTATTACTTTCCTTCATTCACTCCCCACTTGCCAAGGTAAGGGCACATTTGCTAATTATGGACTTGAGAGGATTTTGGAAAACTGATACAGCTTATATTCTAATAGCTCCCAGGCAGCAAGGGAATTATTACTAAATCCCTGCTGCAGCTACATTGCTTTCTTATTTCTTGTATACTCCTTTGAAATTTCTTGTAAAATGATCTTGACAAGAGGTCTTGAATTGAAAACTGGGGGTCTGTCACTGTGCTTTCATGATGCACCTGTACAGCATCTTCAACCACCAGCAACAAGGAACTTTTATTTATTAGGAAACTTCACAGATGCTATAAAAAATTATATTGCTATCAGAGACAAAATGAGGCCTGGGGCCTTCACGGAAAACCATTATAGCCATTAGGACTGGTTTCATTTCCCACCTGCCCAAACAGATTGTTTTCATTTTGAAGGTTGTCATGGGTTTTCAGGTTAGTGCTAAATGATCACTTTAAAATTAACCAGTCTTGGGAGGCCAAATAACCCATCAGGATACTACATGAGACTCTCTCCTCCAGAGATCCAAGATGTGTAATGAACTTGGGTGAGCTATTTTTCCTGGAGTTTATTTATGTTTTTCATCTATCATGAGTATAAGCAGCACGGGACCTATCAGGTGAGGTATGAGGACAGTGTTAGAGAGGCAGGCAGTGAGGGTAACAGCTGAGAAACATTATCAGAGAAAGATTTCTTTTATGATTAATGCCACATACAGTCCAGGCAGTCAGACAGAAAGTCAGACCAGAGGGGTGTCGCATCAACCTCTCTGCTACTAAGGTATTTTCATTTTTCCTTAAAATGAGCTTGCCCCTCACTCACATATAGCAGTGAAGTGAAAAACCTTACTTATCTTCAGAAAACTGCACAAACTAATTGTTCCAATAATAAAGAGTGCATATTAGATAATCACTGCTAATAAATAATTTAAAACAGATGGCATTGGCTTGTACACAATTGTTTTCACTAAGCAGGTCCAAAACAGAGCATCTGCTTTAAACATCGTGCAAGTAAAAGATGAATCACTGGTAACAGTTGGTAATAGTAACAATGATAATAATAATAATAATAAAGTTCTGTTAATCATGGTCTATGTTTTAACAGTTTTCTGTTATTCTCCAGTTCTCCAGCAAACCTGGTATGCAGTTCTAACTTGCAGTAGAAATAGAAATAACTTTTGCCTGTGTGACAAAGTGGCCATGGCTAGACCAAATCCAGTCACCCCACAGCTTCCAGCCCTGGGACACATGAGCTTCAGGAGCTGTAAGGCTCTTGAAGAGATTTTGTCTCTGTGGAGAACAGGATGGAGTCACAAATAAGGTTCAGAGCAGACATCAATCCAGTCACTGTTGGAGGAGTGGTCTCTGTAGATGTTGGGTGCCAGTGGCACAGTGAGGTGCTTGGGGTGCCCCACACACACCTGGCTACCACAGCTGTGTGTCTGCCTTATGCTGAAATAGCTCTCAGGAGCCGCATTCAGCAGAACCAGGATCTCAAAGCACCTGGGCACATTTATCACAGAATCACACCTTTTGAATTTTAGGGTTTCTACACTAAAAACTTCTCTGTGCAGCCCTCATGGCTACACAGAAAACCTTGAGGAGCGAATGTGCAGCCAGAACACGTGTTATGACTGCAGAGATCCTCAGGCTGTAGGGTTGAGGGCCCCTTCACATCTAGGAAGTCCCAGACAGCTCTTTCGAGGCACTTGGCCAACTTGGTCAGGACCCTCCGCGGTGGAGGAAAAGGCTGCTGCCTTGTTGAGCCTTGTGAGCTGATACATCCCACGTGCCAGAACAGCTCTAAAACCATTATGCCCCCACTGGGCCAGTTGATTCACTTGCAGTAGTCAAAGTTTGGTCCATCCTTTGCTCAGATTCTGCTTGGGAGTTTTGCTCACCGAGCTTCCTGTCCCTCCACACCACCAGCAAACAGTGGGTCCACATCTGAATGGTTCTGGCAGACAGTATTTTTAACTCTGAGCTTAAGGAGAAAACCAGCCATATTATACTCAGATCTGGCAACCTTTTGGTACATGTTGTGGACACACATTTCACATCACAGCTATTTTTTATGCTCTGTTGTTTGCTTGTATTTCATGTTTTCATTCAGCTGGAAAATACAAACGGTATGGTTCAGCTTGGAGGTGAAGACCTGCCAGTTTGCATAAACACTTTGATAACAGAAACTTGGTGGTGATTACAGCTCAATGTCTGCTGGAAAAAACCAGAGGCCCTTTAGCAAATTTTCTAACCTAGTACAACACTGGTGCTTTGTTCTTCAGCAGATCCTCAGCCATCCAGGGGACAGCCAAGCACACAGAATTAAATTGTGTAGGGCTTTGTCAGATGCTCAGTGCCAAGTTTTGCTTGTAGTTAACAGATATTTTCAGTTGCCTAAGCTGCTGGTAAACATTTAGTTATTCTTCATGGCTCTAAAGATCTTCCCTGTAATCACTGCCTGGCTGAGCTCTCCACACAGGACATAGTGATTTAGTGGCTGAACAGGCAAAGGTACAGCTGAAGAGTAGCCCAAGTATTCTTTGCCAATAACCTGTGGTGCCAAAATGCAAATTCTTTGAAAGTTCTAATTCTTTTCAGGCCTTATTAAAGACTTGCATAAAATGAGTAGTAAAATAAAGCTTTAAATAGAATTTACTTATACCCTCGCTAAATTTAATTAAACAGGTTTAATCTCACCCATCATCTGAAATCTGCATCATAATTTACACATTAGGTTCCAACAGAATGGGAAAAGCTGCCTTAGGCTGCAATCAAAATTGCAAAGGAAATCCAGAATATTAATACTTTTTGTACACAACCCTTTAGTCAGGCTTTGCAGGTCAGCACACACAACGTCAGTGTAAATGAAAGAGAACAAACATACATCTTAAGTTATTTTCCTGGGTTTTAAACTATGCCCTTTTGCAAGTTTATTCCACTAAATCACTACGGCTAGGATTTCACTAGGTGAACCAGCTTTAATAAGTGAGGTTTTCATCCCTCCCTAGCTAAAAGAGTAACCTTACTTGAAACCTTTTCAATTTCCAAAGTTGCCTTCAGCTGTTAGTTTCCAAGAAACAGCTATTCCCAGCCTCCGTGTCTCCCTCTCATATGCCACTGAATATCCACCCTATGCTTTCAAAAGTGTCTGTGACTCTGGCTGTGTTAACTGGCAGATGTTTTTAGAGACTAGAAAGTGTTTAGTCCCTGTGGACTAAAAGTTACATGATGACTTCATCACATAAGCAAAAGCTAATAACGGGAAAGCAAGAAAGCAGACAAGTGTTATATTCCAAAAACATGATGTTTCCTGTGCTTCTGGCAAAGCTACTTCTGTGCCTGAAAAAAGGCAAATCACTTGAGTCGTGGTGCTCAAAACACACACACGCCACCGAATCGCTGCGAGATAATTTATGTGCCTCTCCCTCAGCTGCCTTCCCCACCAATACTCACTTTCCTTTGGATGGAAGTGAGAGGGTGAAGGCAGAGGAAAGGCAGTGTTTGTTTGCCTTCAATATCTCTGCACCATGTGCCTCACAACACTCGCTGGAAGGGGTTACTGCACCCAGGAGTTTACAGCAAAACAGCAGCAGAAACCTGAGTGGCTGCCCCAGGAGCACACACCTCTGCTCCTGCAGGGAAATGCTCTTTCAAGTGCATGGCTTTACCCTCTCCGTTTAGAAAACTTTGGAGACTGATACAGGAGCAACTGGAAGTAATTAGCATAAATGGCATCTGCACACAGAGGCAATACTTGCTGTGGTTTCAGATCAAGCCATCAGCAGTGGACATCATGTGCCCTGTCTCCACACCTCCCTGAGCTGCCTGAGTGACAGAACAATAACCCAGAGGATGTGGATTCACAGGAGAAAGCCTCCCTCCAGTGACACGATGGGGAAGAAGAGCAAGTGAGTAGATAGGCAGCTCACCACGGCAGGACACGGTGAAGACCCTTCTCTGTCTAAGAGGGGAGAAAGGATCTGCCCTGGAGAGAAGCATGGGCTTTTTGTATTAAGAATTCAATGCATGTATATATAAATTTTCCTAAGTAGGGGAGGGGGCTATTTCCTAGAGCTGATTAAAGAAGCATGACTCGATTTTCAATTTCAAACGACTCGGGGGGCATTCCAATCGGCTGCAGACAGGAAATGAATACCATACATGCACTGAACAAGGCAGATGCTTTTGAATCTGACACTTACGTGAAATGAAAATATCTTCATTTCTGTCTCCCTTCCACCCCAGGATCACTAGTTAGTTCTGAGCTATTTTTAGGATAAATGGTTTCATTTTTCAAACTTGTTATAGTCTTAGCATGTGCTTGAAGCCACCCAGACGCCACTGACAATGAAGTGTATGGGAGCAGGCAACAAGCATCTTTAGATTAGTCCTAGCAGCCCAACACAGCAGCAAGGTAAGAGAGGAAAGATAAGCTCAGTTTTGTGTATTCTCACCTCCTCTGGTGAGGAACAGAGATAGGACCCTGGTGGATAAGCCAGATCCAGTGAGGGAGAAGAGATCTATACAAAGAGAGATCCCAAAGCAGAAAACAGCAGAGACACTGAAGACTGGGTCAGAACTCACTTCCAGCTCTTGAACTCTGCTAAAGAGATAAATATATATATTTTCTCCTCGTGCAGCTCTCACAAGCAAGCTGCAATAGTTGTCATGGTAGCATTACGGGGTTTATAACCCAATATAACAAAGTAATTATGGCTCCTTTTATCAATGGCAGCAGTGCGTTTCAGAGAATTGGCATATGCAGCTCTTTTCCCCCACTTAGTCCATATGTGTGCAAACACATGATTTCAGCTGCATCCTCCCCTTGTATTTTATTGTAGGAATAGGATAAAGGAAGAAAAAAAAATCAGAGAGGTGGTATTAATCTGGCCCTTACTCTGATGTTATGCAAATAATGAATTCATTTTATCTTGATGTTAAGACAGCCAAAGCTGTATTCCTAAGAACATGAAAAAATGATCCTCTCAGGAGACAGAAGAAGAAAGAGGGATGGGTAGGTGAGAAAGGCAGCTTTGATTTACTTTATTCAAAATGCCATGAACGCCAGATCAAAGAAGAGCAGGAATGAAATTCACATCCACTGAAGGATTTCAGCAGCTTTTTCAGAGCTATTGATCTCTCAAGGGCAAACCCTTTTAAATGCTAGGTGATGCCTCTAACTAGCCAGAGCTCCCACTTTATACTGGCTGAGCCTGGCGTGGTTTGCTTTCAGCAGCTGAGGGAAGCAGAAACAGCAAAGACAAAGCTGTATCTGGGTTTGATGAAGGACACACAGAGCTGAGCACAGAAATGGAAGGTGTGCATTTTCTGCACCAGATCTTGCCTCTCTAATGGCCATCAAGGTAGATGTTAACTAAGAACCAGATTCCCCACTGACAAGCCATGTGTTTGGTGACCATGGAGTGCCTGGTCTGAGCACAGAGTGCTGTCACCCTGATGAGAGCTCTAGGCAGGGCTTGTTTGCATGGTGCTGACTTGCTAAAAATATAAAGTCACCTCATATTTTGTATGGGATAAAGGTGGAATAAGACATCTAAGGAGCTATTGCAGCTCAGCTGGCAAGCAGTGACTTGTTCATGAGCTTGGACTCGCCAGTCTAATCTGAACACCTAGGAGGCACGGGATCCAACCCTAAATCAAGTGCTGAACTGTCAAATGCACCACAGATTGGCATCTTCCCCCCACCCCTTCCCTTCCTTGGGACAGGTGTCTTTGGAGTCAGGTAGACAAGCTCCCAGGTGTTCTGCCTTGTCAGTGGACTTCTGGATCATGCCTTAAGCAAGAGCCACTGGAATTGGGTGCAGTAAAGCAATTTAATGTGATGCAGCCCCAGATGGTTTCCTAAGAGCTGCCTTTAGGCTTCTGATGTGGATCCCCTTGCAGCAGGCTCATTGCTGCTGCCATCACTGCATTCCTGGGAACACTCCCTTCATGCTGCCTTGCACATTTGCCATGCTGCACACACGGCTGCAGCAACACATTATGGATTATTTGTCTCTTTCCAAGCTCTGCTCACATTTTGAAGCCTACCTGCTCTCACCAGCACCCAGCACACCTTGGTACCTTGAACGTTTTCAGGAAATGGATGACCCTTTTCCTCCTGCATGTTTGGATTGAGAGCCAGTGCTGCTACCATTTCAATACACATCAAAATTCTCAAGGAGTCTGCCAGGCTAAACAGCTCATTTGAAACCTCTGGCACTACGCTTTTGATACATAATTTTGATTTTGATTTCTCAAGTCACAGGCAGTGGGGCTGCCCTGGGTCCCGTTTGAGATATATATTCACTAATGTGAGACACACACATATCAAGTCCCCTTTCTTTCCCAATAAAAGCCTGGACTTTAAAGCACAAGGTGAGGAATAGATACTCTATTGGCCAGCTGCAGCAAGCCTTTCATAAATAACACGACGATCAACCCCCATAATGGAAAGCGATACTCCAGAAGCTCTGTCCTGACAAACATCTGTTTTCCTATTGTAGAAAGGAATAACAAGATAGGAAAAGTTAAATGCTGAATGCCTAAACAAACTGAATTAAGAAGAGATGGTAAGAGTAATGATGGATGAATTGTAAGCCACCTGCAAATGTTAAAGTTGCCTTACTCTTCTGCAGAACATTAAGCCTATACTGCAAACCTCCAATAGACAGGGACTGTGCTCTATAAAAATCATGATGAATGCAGGCTTGTTTTTATATTATGGAGGTCCTAATCCTCCTCCTCCTCTGCCTTTGCTCTATTGTTACAACATCAAAGACCAACTGCTGGCCAAGATACAGTCAATATGAAAAGGGCGACCAGCAAATTTACTGCTTGACTTCATTCCCTTTAAATGGAATAGGCACCATGGCCCTTTTTCAAAGTCCAATCACAGACATATATCTTTTTTATTGGACATCATGTACAATAAAGTGAAGCTGTAACTTGGAAAAAAAATAGAACACCTTAAAAAAAATCCCATGAGGTGAACATTCCTTTATAAAAATATCACTGTGGTTACATGTTTTGAAA